TGTTGTTGTAAGCTGCTAATCTGTTTTATGTTCTGTCTCGATGGCTGCCCAGCTGTATCAGGAGACCAAAACTCAAGTCAATATGCAGTTCTTGGCCAACAATGCTGGACCATGGAACTCTAAACACTTGGTAGATTGCTTCAGTCGTTAAATGACAGGTTGAACAACCCTTGAAATTCACTTTGGTTCCCAGTCATTTCAGGATTTTGATGTTCAGCAGACAGTCATCTTTTCTGTTGAATGTTCATTGACGTTTGAAGACGTGTTCATATATATGTTCCTTTTTCAGCTATTCACTTCCACTGAAAAAAATTCTGTTCTAAAAATAGAAGAGCTTTACCAGCTATTTTGACCTGATAGTTAATTATTGTTTGTGTGGTTGTTTTTCTTTTGCAGTGTTATTTCGATTCTGTGATTTGATGTTTTGTTTATTTGATAAAGATTGCAGTGAAGAGACTTTATGTTTGCCATACCTGCATATAAATATTAGAGTACTTTTACAAGCCCATTCATAATTTATGATTAAAAACAAACATTGTGAAGTTGTTGTCATGTGGTTCTTTATTTAAAGGAATTAAATAATTGTTAATTACAGTTCAAAGTGGTAAAAATGCTTCAAGTACTTCACTGGATATTATTGTTGGCCATATTTTATTATTCAGACTCATCCACCTCAATGTCTATGGTGAATATACCTACTGTATACTATGCTCTTGGTTCCAGGTTATCAGTGTGTGCGTGCGAGTTATAAAACAAATGTATATTGGAAATGCATATAGTGCAATATGACTGAATCATAGCTATGTGGAAAGTAAGAAAACATTGGAAAATATATATATAATGTAGAATAAGTTCTGCTTTTTACATTTTAACACAAAACGTCTTCAAGTATTAAAACCTAAATGATAAGCAAATTAGCTCCTGTTAACCAAGACTTTGGCTAATTAAACAGGAAAGTTACTGTAAAGTGGATCTCAGTGAATGGATTTATTTGTACTTGCCCTTATCGGGGAAAAAAGCTTATCTTAACCCGAAAGTATTTTGATTTGACGCCTAACTCCGGATGTGTGACGTGAACCTAATGCTAATGAACCACTGAAAGGCGAAAAGTATCACTTGTAGCATTGCGGCAGTACTGTAGCCCTCTTGGGCTATTAACTCCCATTGGAGAGCGGATCTTGTCCATGGGTGGATTTACAAACCTCAGTGTCGTCTTGATGGATTTTATTTGTACGAGTCTAAAGCGATGCGTTGAAGAAGGTCGGTAGTCAGACGACTTTCGGTTTTAGCTTTGCGCCATCTTTTACACTGGTGCTAGGTTTGAAATTGGTGTGTTTTTTAAATTGTAACTCGTTGTTCAACATTTGAATCAAGTTTCTGTGTACCATTATCGTTACATTTTGTTACTTGCTCTTTGTAGATGGGCCATTCCACCGAATTGTTGCCATTTGTTTGTTGTAAAACTTGTTTAATTATCTTTTTAAAACTGAATCTAATAACATATTAACTAATCTCGGATTACTTTAGTTAGTTAAATCCTGTTACCAAAACACGTGTGTTTAAAGCATGTTTAAAAACGTCAACTAATTATTTTGTGTTCCCCTGTTTATTAACCATCAATAAATTGATGGTTTCATTATCAATAACTGATATCTGTAATAGAAATATTGTATATTTGTATTACATATGCACGCAAAAAATGTTTTATTATAAACGTTTTCTGTAGGGCAAATAGAGATATAGCTATGGTGGCAGAGAAGTGCAGAACAAATCACAATTCTGAAAACAAAAATAAATTACAAACGCAAATGCAAGTCTAAAAAACAAAATAACAATTCAGAAAACAACATAAGTCAGAAAACACAATGACAAATTCGAAAACAAAATAAGTCAGAAAACGCAAAGACAAATCAGACAAACCGGAAAAGGTAGGTATAGTTTGAGGCAGCGCCATTGGTTTGTGATTAGTCACCGCTGACTGGACGAGACATCTGTCAATCAACGTATACAGGAAGAGCCAGCCGAAGAACAGCAGAGTCGTGGTAGAAAGTTCGGAGATGGTATTAAAGTAGCTCAGTTTAAATGTATTGTATCAATTGCCCTTACTATGGAATAAAAAATAGGGGGTGCATATTTACATTTAGTAAAAAGTGGCGCAGATGGATAAGCGCGTGTCACTGACTTTTTCACGCGATCGACCCGGGTTCGATCCTGCCTTTTGCTGAGCTTTTTTTCCCTCCCTTTTCAAATCTCGTTTCAGCAATGGATTCTATTTACACTAAGTGAAAATAGCAGTATTTTTAACAATATGCTATTTACACTAAGTGCAAATACACATTTACACTATGTTAAAATATCAGGATTTCTACTATCAAGTATACTACAGGAATTCCTAGGAAATGGACACAATCTGCTAACTGGATCTCATTTATACTGTGATCCTGTAATTGAAGCCTTAAACCAGTGCAAATTCTTCAAAACTCATGAGCTTAATTCAATTGAATCTGCGGAAATTACCCAGGATAAGATAAAGATTATACTTGACCTAGTTATTTCTAAAGGTGAAGAAGCATGCTATAAGTTTTTAAAAATTCTTGACAAAAAAAGATTTCAAGTATTTCCAAGACCTGGTTTGGGTTCTCCAGATTTACATCACTGGATTAGTTGCTTCTCCTTCCAGGAAGAGCCACAATCTCAGACAGCAAACCATGCAGGTGGGTAACAAGAACAGGAATTCTGTATTCTTCTTCTTCTTCTTGTGTCAAGTAGTCTAGATAAGTGTATTTTTATTCTTAGCTGTAGTTATATTAATACCTTTATTTAATCAGAGGCATATAGTGAAAGTTGGGGAAGGCAATGTGGTAGCATAATGGGGTTCAGGATGAGGCAACTTGCCTTGGTAGATTGAAGTTCAGTGACCGTTCTCGATCAATGAAGTCTCAAAATTTAAGGAATTTGGAAACAGGCAATGCTAAACAAACACCATATTTTTGTAATTGTCATTTTGTGACAAGAAAATTTAGTCTATTTTGATTGACCTTTTTAAGACTGGAGCATATATTCAGAGAAGTGCACTGGTTTTCACTGTACTGTTGTAGATATCTAAAGAAATGTCCAATAAATATCCAAAAAAGATTTTGAAATGTTTTCCAGATTCAGATCCTTTTACCACATACCAGGGCCTTTTGAGATGGAAAGCAAGACAAATCCTGGATGATAAATGGAACCAAAGTATGAATTTCTTAAAAAATGAGCAAAAAAGAAAACCCTTCATGTACGTACCCCTTGTTATGGACACAGATTCTAGTACAGTTGCAAAGCTTAAGAAGAACAAGGGATACAAGAAATCTCGTTCAAAGAAACTGAAGACCTACATTCCAACAGCCAAGAAAATGTTGTCTCCCAAAGACTTGCTAATGAATGATGAGAAAAGCATCCTGCTTGTGGGAAAACCTGGAGTGGGAAAAACAACAGTTGCACTGGAGATACTTAGACTTTGGACAGAAGAGAAAAACATTCCAGTGAGTTATATGTTTTATTTTGATGAGCCACTGATGAGAGTCTTCTCTCAGTCTCCATATCCTCAAAACTTGAAGGATCTTCTTTTTCAAAAGTACATATCCCCAGATAAAGCGTCCGATCAAGTCCTGGAAAATATTGAGAGCAATTCAGAGAATGTTGTTATCATTTTTGATGGTATCATGGATGTGATTGGAAACTCTGTGATTAAACAACTTATGGAGAAAGAACTTCTAAAGGATGCAAAGGTGTTGACCACTTGCAGACCAGAAGCTGAGGATACAGGTTATTTGTCAGACTGGCGGTCTTATCGAGTGGAGGTTCAAGGCTTTAATCATAAGTCCATCTATGAATACTTTAAGTGGATGTTGGGAACAACAGATGACATTGGTGCTTTGGAAAACCCAGAGTTGTTTAGTTTATGCTCTGTACCACTGTATGCCTTCATAGTAGCTGCCTGCATTTCAGTAAGTCCTACTGAAGCAAGGAACAAGCCATTTACAGTTACAGAGATGTATGTCCGAATTTTTCGCTTTTGCATGAAACAACATGGGCACCAAGATGTGGAGCACTTGGATAAGTACATTAAAGATAACAGGAGGGATATCGTAAACTTAGCCTTAGCCTCCTATCAAGCAATGCTAGCAAAGACAGTGAACCTGACAGATTTGGATCATGAAGATAAGTCTGTGCAAAATGCTTTCTTGACAAAGCAATTCTGGAACCCATCCACAACCTCTTGCAAAGTGTATGCATTCCTGCATAATACAATGCAAGAGTTTTGGGCAGCTCTTTATCTCATTTTAAATCCTGACAAGATTACCAATGTACTGGATAAATGCCAAAACAATGAAGATGGAAAATACCTTAAATATATCATGCCATTTTTGTCTGGACTTCTTTCTGATAATGTAGTTGAGCTCATAAAGTGTTTGGTGCCAGTAGAACAGATAGAAGCCACACGTGTCAAGTACTTACAACAGATTATAGATACTTTCCTTTACACCAAAGAACAGAATCAAGAAGGCGATTGTGAGCAGTTTGTGGAAGCTGACAACATCTTATTTGTGTGTCGATGCCTTTATGAGTATCAGTTTCCTAAGGCATGCCGACTCTTCCTGGAAAAGGTTCAGTATGAGCTTGATTTAGAAGACCAAACACTTGATCCTTACCAGTGCTGTGTAATATCCTATGTGGTCAATCAAGCTGTGCATCGGAATATTGATCTGGATCTCACAGATTGTAGCATTACTGATCCCGGCTTGAAACTACTTCTAAGATCATTGAAAAATCTGAAATTTCTCAGGTACAAGAAGTTCAGTTATGGCTGTTGAAACAAACAGCCACTCCCTTTCATGATTATCAAGCAATGACAAAAATTATATGATGTTTATTTTTGTTCCTAGGTCAACAAGCACATTGAAATCTCAAATGTGGAGAGTGGCTCTTGCAGCAGGGCAGTTTTCAGATTTTGATAGCTTGCTTAGCTTATTCAGCTTTGAAATGCATCTCTCTGCACTTGAAACACTGGACCAGAAAGTGTTTCAAAGGATAGGAGAAGTCCTTAAAAATAAGAGATCAGAGATCAGTGTTCATCTTTTTCTGCATGTAAATGAAGAAGTCATAACCAGATCTTTGCAGAAGGCAATTTTTGAGAGCTTACCCAATATTGCAACCATTAGGTACAACCAGTTACACTTATTTATTTATTTATTTATTTATTCACTTTTTTTACTTAATTCACATATTCTGTATTTTTTCTCATTTGTTCATAGGATTTTCCCCCATCTATTTAAAGTAGCTATAGAAACAGAGCTCTATCTTCAAGGAGCTATTTATGAGATGAAGACAGGTCAACGATGTGTAAGGAAACTGCTGTCTGTTTGCAGCAATAATCAAAGAGAAAACTTTGATGATCAGTGTAAATTCTTGCTGAAACTGCATGAACATGCCAAGAACATGGATGCTCTTCCAGTTTTGCAACCTGTTTTCTATGCATTGCCACCTACCTGGGTTGTACAGCCTTCAAACCCATCAGTGTCACTACTTTTCCAAACCATGGAAGTTCTAAATTTAAGGAAGCCCGCTGAACTAGATCATGTCACATATGAGCTGAGTGAACTTAAACTAATTCTTCAATGTATGCCCTACATTACAGAAATGAGGTGAGTTTTTTTATTTGTTTATTTAAAACAACTAGGTATAGGTCTTAAGTAAAAAATATATATATTTTAACATTTTTTTTTATACAATGCAGGTTCAGTGCTGCTCTCAGACAGCCCAAAGACATCCACAAAATTGTTAAGATTGTTGTTGATCTTAATTCACATATTCTGTATTTTTTCTCATTTGTTCATAGGATTTTCCCCCATCTATTTAAAGTAGCTATAGAAACAGAGCTCTATCTTCAAGGAGCTATTTATGAGATGAAGACAGGTCAACGATGTGTAAGGAAACTGCTGTCTGTTTGCAGCAATAATCAAAGAGAAAACTTTGATGATCAGTGTAAATTCCTGCTGAAACTGCATGAACATGCCAAGAACATGGATGCTCTTCCAGTTTTGCAACCTGTTTTCTATGCATTGCCACCTACCTGGGTTGTACAGCCTTCAAACCCATCAGTGTCACTACTTTTCCAAACCATGGAAGTTCTAAATTTAAGGAAGCCCGCTGAACTAGATCATGTCACATATGAGCTGAGTGAACTTAAACTAATTCTTCAATGTATGCCCTACATTACAGAAATGAGGTGAGTTTTTTTATTTGTTTATTTAAAACAACTAGGTATAGGTCTTAAGTAAAAAATATATATATTTTAACATTTTTTTTTATACAATGCAGGTTCAGTGCTGCTCTCAGACAGCCCAAAGACATCCACAAAATTGTTAAGATTGTTGTTGATCTTTTCATTCTTGCATCTGCAAGACTGGTTATATCAGATAAAGAAATAAATGCTGTAACTGTGGAAGAGCTGTCATTGGTTTTGGATAACTCTCATCTACCAGAGAGAGCACTATGCCAGCTATTAAGTAAGCTAACTTCTCTTCTTAGAGTCTGGAGAGTCCACAACTTGAACCTGTCTGAATTTAAAATTGAGCCTCACTGGTTCATTTGTCTGCTGTGTCATCAGGGTCCCTTGTCCATTAAGTAAGCGTGATTCTGCTGTGGAATATATACATCTTTTTTTCTTTTTCTTTTTAACCTTGAAGTGTTCGTTTACTTGAAAATGTATATTAATAAGAATTCTGTGACAACAGATTTCCTGAAGGGACTCTGCAACGACTGGCAGAAATTGTGTATGATGCTCAAGATGAAAATTTGACACAGTTGTTCCTGGAGAAAACTGATGGTGATTTATCACCTTGTAATTTGTCCTGGGAGGTTTTATCTTACCTAATTCAGGGCACCAAAAAGCAAGTGACACTAGACCTCGCAGAGGGTGGATTTAGTGTCTTGAAAGTTCCGAGCCTTCTTGCTTTACTGGACACAGTGTGCTTTAAAAGGCAATATCTTTACTGGTGTACAGTTTAATATATCTATTCATATCTGCACTTTATGGTGTTGTTAGCATTAGACATTCTAAAATAATTATTCCTTATAATGCAGGATAAGCCCGCGGTTTGTCAGGGCTGCATTGAAGGAGATATACCAAAACCATGCTGGTCATCTGATTGTGAAATTAGTTAAATCTTCAGCTAACCTGATTAACCTTTGCATGAGAGAGTTGGATTCAGCTGACTGCAAAGCCCTCTGTTTTGCCCTGCACTATAGTGATGGTGTTAAGCTCAACCTGTTGAACTCTGTCGTACCAAATAATGAGACTGACAGCATCGTCAAACTTCTGCACAGAGTATCTGATCTGAGGTAATGTGCTCAAATAATTTTTGTTCAACTTACATTTAAAATTCGAATGAGTTTTGCATTGCTCACAGCACTACTGCTTTATGGGACTAGGGTTGATAGAAAGCTGTTGTTGAACTTTCTTCATGCCTCTAAGAACATGGAAAAACAAGGATATTCGGCGTCTTCCCTTTTGACTGCACTGAACCACAAACTGGACTTCTCCTGCAATTCTTCCCTCAGCAGTGGCCGTTCTGGTCAAGAGAATAGGGATCTTCTAACTATGAGTCGTATAGATTTTACAGCCATTTCTTCTGCCATTAAAACATCAACGTGCAATACAGAATTGATTTTATACGACTGCCAAGCAGATGATTCTGCACTTGAGATTCTATTCCCTATTCTGCACAAAGTGCATCTTCAGTGAGTCCTCGTATATATTTTTTTACATAAATTAAGGTAATTCATTTTATTGTTAGATTTCTACAGAAGATTAAATGATTCAGTTGCAAAAATGTCTGTCTTACAGCTTGGGCAAAAGTCTTCTTTGTCAGGTTTTAACCTTGATTTCCAATGCCCCCATGGCCATGTCTTTGCAATGGGCATCGTCACTTTCCAAAGCTCTTGGAAAAGAGCTGAACCTCAGTGACATTCCTCTTAACTATCGTACATGTGAGTCTCTGCAGTTAGTCCTGGATGACAAAGAGGAGCTCACACATCTTAATCTCAGCTATTGTCAGATCACAGATGCGTGCTTGGATCTTTTGCTGCCTCACCTCCACAAAATTATGATTTTAGAGTGAGTATTTATAGGCTAATTAAGGCTGTTTTTTTTATCTATTTCTTTATTTAAACTATATGATTAATGATTTCTCTTAACACTTTTTTTTCAGTCTTACTGGAAATGACATAACCGATAAAGGTGTTCTGAGACTGCACCAAGCCTTAGATGAAAGCAGTTTCACAAAGACCATATGGTGATTATGGTGTTAAATATTTTGTGCAGCTAGCACTGTACATTGAAATTGTATTGGAAAAATAAATTAAAAATTCTCTGGTAAAAAACCCCCCGATAATTAGTTCATTTTAATTGCCCTTATTCCAGGGATACAACCTAAATGTTTTGGATTATTTAACACATTAATTTAAGATCACGGAGTACTCTACAATATGATGGAGATTTTTTAGTAGTATCTTATAAGTCACACAATGTCACAGTGCTTGTCAAATTGTTACAGTCTTTTTATGGTAAAGTTCTCACCATCTCAGTTGCCAGTTTATCTGTTTGTTTGTTTACGTAACAGTTTTGGTTTGTTCTGATGTGTTAAACAGAATTGAATTCTTGATCATCTTTATTCAATCATTTGCACAGCATTTGTGACAACCAAGTAACAGAGATGGGCCTCCTGGTGGAAGAAGCACGCTTTGAAACCCAACAGGCTGATACAAGAAGATGCAGCCACACACAGAATTACATTACAAAAGATTTGAGATCAAAAAGTGAGATGGAAAAATCAATCAGTTCTTTTGTTAAGGTACTGGTACCAATAATTTGTTTCTTTTGTGTTTGTGAGAGTGTTCAGATATTTTTGAACAGCATTCTGAAAAGGTTGTATGTCATATGCAGTTTGCAGCACATAGAGATTTAATAGACCAGTTATGAGCTAGCAAAAGCCTAAATCATTAGTTGCGTAAAGATGAAAGAATGATATTTTTGTTTTATGAATGGTAGATATAAGTGGAATGTCAGTAAAGGACAACAGATCATGAAGGATCACTCATGGGCCAATTGCAAACAGAAGGGTAATGTGGTAGGAAAGGGAACCTCAATCTTTATTTAAGGATGGGTGATAAAGTGTGCCCATTCTTAATTAGTTGTCAGCAATGTATGCTGAGATTATCTCTGTAGTTTTGGAGCTGCTGATCTCTGTGTCATCTTATGTTAAGGTGCAGGCTGAAGATAGTGAACATTTCTCACTGATAAATAGGGTATAGCATACAAGCAGGAAAAGCACAGATGCAATAAAACACTAAGCATTTGCTTAATGCATATTTCTCACACTAAAATATGATAACATAAAGAGATAGTTCAGCCAAAACACGAACCACCCTCATGTGATTCCCACCTGTATGACTTCATTTCTTCAAAAGAAAATATATTTTTAGAAATATCTTTGTTGTTGTCCATACAGTGTAAATTAATAAACCAAAATGGTTTGGTTATTTACATTCTACAAAATATCTTCATTTATGTTCCATAGAAGAAATAAACTTATACAGGTTTGGAACAACATGGGGGTGAATAAATGATCACAGAATTAAAACATTTTTTAAAACACTGCCTAATGAAACATCAGGCATGCATTTAATTTTACAAAGCAAATCAACCTAAGGTGTAAAATATAGGGTAAACAATTCAGGAAGGCAAAATGTCATAATTAGGATACAAGAGAAAAGCACAGATCCTTTGCTATTTCTTAAGTGATTTATCATTCTTTAAACTTGTTAGTAGTAAAAAGTCAAGTAAAAACATTTCATATAAAAACATCTTATATTGTAGACAGAAGATCTCATAAAGACGTTTGAGCCTGAACTTGCAGTAAATAATGGCAAGATTTCCTATAGGTCAGTAAACTCTCCTTGTCTTTGAGGTATGACTTTATTCATAAAATAATATGACTTTCCTGTGTGAAACAGTTTCTCAAAAATGATTTTTTTTAATTGTCTTGCAGGTTTCAGTGGAAAACAGAAGGCCTTTTCATGTGCAGCGCGACGGGGCTAGTGTTCGGATTGAAAGGAAGTGGATGTGTAGAGTACAGTGTGGCTCACTGGGATGCGCGTCTCCTCATCAACACTCACTATGAGCCTGCTGGACCTCTGTTCGACATCAAAACCCCTACAGGAGAAATCTATGAACTCCACCTTCCACACTGTGAGACACACGGTAAATGATAAAGCATGTTAATGAATGGATACCCAACATATTGTGAATATTCAAATGATTGTATAGAGAACTGAAATCAGTGCATATCAGTTCAGTTTCATTATCATTCATTAACAATGATGTTGGCCTTCTGAGCTCTGTTGTACAATATAGTGAGCTGTCTCTGCTGTGATTCTGAGGCTGCTTCCTCACTGAAATGGAATCTTTTAAATAACTGATTCTTTGTAAACATTCTTTGACTGACTAGAAATGGTTTCTTACAAGGCTCTTAAAAGACTTGACTAATATTGCATATTATTTTACATTTAGATGGGATGATTTTTGGTCATTTTCAGTATTGAATCAAATGTAATTGACAGTATGTCAATTCTACACTAAGGACATGTGTGCCTTATGTGGCCTTGATGAACAACTCACTAGGTTTTCAAACACAATAATATTCATCGTATTTTGCCATCAAATGAGGGTTTTGATGGATTAAAGTCTAGAAAAAGTTGCTTATATAAATATTTCTGTGTGAGCAGAAAAACTGTATTTAAAAATAGTACTATTTAATCCCAACTGTTTGTTTTGTCTTTTTTTAACCACTTTTTATCTACAGTTGATGCAATTGGAAGTCTTTCTGTTGTCCATATACACAACGAGGACACTTGGGAATTCCTCTCTCCAAATAAAATTTCAAGAACGCATATAGCTGTAAATGTCTGTAGGTTATCTAGTTACGGCCTTGTGGATGAGAATAATCAAAATAACAAAATCATCAATGGCCAGGTGTTGCTGTTCCAAGAACCTGACATGTCACTGACACAGCAAAGGCTATGGGTTTTTCTTTTGCCAAGCAATGTCCCACTCTCCGAGGTCTGATAATCTTTCATTTGCCCTCATTTTATTTTGTAGAGATTATTTTTAATACACATCACTCATAGTCTTGTTTTGCCAGCAGATTAAAGAACAGCAACAACAGTATGTGTTCATTCAAACCAGCTCTGACTGCAAACTACAGATAAATGCAAAGTACACTCTGATCTCAAAAAAAGCCAAAAGAGTCCAACCGAAGGTATGTGAATTCCGAGATTGTTTCTCCCAGACCACAAAGTTGTTTTATCACACTGTGAAGCTAAACTGGGTAACGTCCATTGGCACAGAGAATTTGATGATTTTACTAACCTTAGAAAATGCTATTCAGCTTTTTTTGTGTATGGTTATGGTTTGTTGTATCGTTTAGGAAAAAATATTTGAACCCTTGCACGCTGATAATCACCATCCTACATTTGAAATCTTCTTGGATAAAGATGTGACTGAACTGCGAATTAAAATTCAACTTAAAATAAAGGAAAGTGATACGATTAACTTCAAAAATGCATGGAAGCGTTGGATAATTCTCAAGAAAAACACAAAATGAGATCTGAAGAACATTCTAACATTCAAGGTACCATCATTCTTTTTGAAGTTCCCTGAGATTCACAGAATGCATTATTTTTTTTTAAAATGCCTGATAATTATTTGTTAATTTTGTGTCTAGTAAACTGTAAAACCTGGATATCTGCTCTTGGTAAACTCATGGAGGATCTTAAAAGTGAAGAGATCAAGAAACTGAAGCATTTAATGACGCACACTGGGAAAAGACATCCCATTTGTTCAATGAGACTTGAAGAAACAAAAGACCGGTGTGAGTTGGTGACTTTGGTTCTTAAGACATGGGGATTCAAAGAATCAGTGAAAGCCATACATGAGTTCATGAAGGAGCTGCCTCGTAATGATGAATCTGTGACAGACCGACTAAAGCCATATGTGACACTGTTTGGCCTTGAGGGTTAGAGCATATCACAGACTTTTCAATCATTTTGTAGACAGATCTCAGTGTAAAAACACTTTTTATTAGCCTAACGCTCAACAACAGATTACCTCAGTGTGGTAATATTTCAAGCCTTGAATAACTGTTGATTGTACTTCAACTGTAAATTCGAATCTGTGTATGTGGCTTTGTAATTGATTTTGTAAATGAATTGTAAAGATGTTCAGGTTACTTAGGCTATATGTTCATATACTGGATTTATTTATCTGATGCTTTACTCCAGAGTGAATAACAAAATTAAGTAGACAGCAACATGAGAAGTGCTGCAATTATGTGTACTGTAATTATGACAACAGGCTGTTTCTATTATTTGTTTATATGAGAATCATGTCCAAATATTTCACAAATTAAGTTTAGATATGAATAATATTTGTTGATGAAAGTAGAATCAACTGAACAAAAAGTGAACAATAAAAGTTGAATCAAAAGACTACGTTTAATCATTTAAATGATTATTTATCAACTAACTTATGCTGCAGCCATGGAAGATCTACAGAAACCAACTCTGCTGGGTGCAAAATTATCAATAGGTACTTGAAAGGTTACGAACTTTCACTAAGAGAGAAAGAGGCACATTGAACATCTAAATATTTCACATACAGCAAGTATATCATCTTTTTATATATTTATATCATTGTGTTTTCTCTGCTATCGGGCATTTTCGGAAATTTTCCTCACTAGTAGGTTACAGAAATCACTGGGATTAAGCCGATTTTACACAAGAAATCTAATATCCAAATTGTCATGTTTTCTCCATATTAACCGCAAGGGGAGCAATATCTCACTTTTCTTCACAGCTGCTAGTTATCTCATTACGAAAAAGCAATTAATCTTTTTTTTAACCGGAGCTCCTTGTTAGCTAACGTACGGTTTGGTTGTTTGATACCAGGAACCCGAGGTTCGAACACCATCCATATCGTATTGTTGTTTGTTAACACCAAGTTTGCTTTTCAGTTAATTACTCTGAATTTAATTGAGACTGGTAAAACCACGATGAGGCCTGTGACTCCGCGCACTGCAAAGCAGCTGCTCCACAACAAGTTCGTTGTGGTCTTAGGCGATTCAAGTGAGTACTCCGAAGATTAATAGGTATTGTGATAATAATGGCCTTCGTGATTTTTAATAAGACTGCTTTCTCTCTAGTTCAACGCTCGGTTTACAAGGATCTAGTCCTCATGTTGAGGAGAGATGCGTATTTAAGTGTATCACAGCTAAAAAGCAAGGTCAGTATCTGGATTCATGTTTTATTAGTTGTATGTCGCTTTTTATATATGTATGTGTGTATGTATGTGTATGTGTGTGTGTGTGTGTGTGTGTGTGTGTGTGTGTGTGTGTGTGTGTGTGTGTGTGTGTGTGTTTTAATGGTATTAGAAGTACTTTAAACACTAAGAAACAGATCAAGATTTGTTTTAGATGAGTTTATGCATGAAAGCTGTGTGTGTGTGTGTGTGTGTGTGTGTGTGTGTGTTTTAATGGTAGGCCTGTCTGATTTCTTGCTGGTGTACACTTGAAGACCATTTTGGACCAACAACAAACCAGCTACAGTACCAGCTGGCCTTGCCCTTTTAGTGTTGTCAAGCTGATTTTTGGCACATTATAGCTGGTTGACCATCTAATAACCAGATACCATGTCCAAAAGTTCAGCTATCTATACTTCTCATCAAGATTTAGCCAAAACACTCCAATGTACAGTTTTTGATCAATAAATGTGTGAATAGAGGAAAACATGAAGCTGCTGTGAATATTGTTACTTCTGTAGTAACCGTGAGAAGAATAGGAACTTTCCTTTTTCCAGTATAGATTAAGCAATGTCTGATGCATCTGTCTTGTCCATATTTCACAGGGTGAGTTTTCCTTTGAGCAAGACTGTCTGGTAGAAGGTGGCCGACTAGGAGAAATGAATAATGGCACTGCCTATAAAGAAGTGAGACAGTACAGAACGGATCACCACTTGATCCGTTTCTATTTTGTCACGCGTGTTTTTTCACGCAGCATGGAGAGGATCTTGACCGACTTTGAAACAGGAATGAAACCAGACCTGGTCATCGTCAATTCTTGTGTGTGGGACATATCAAGGTGGGAGTGATTTTTACAGCCATAAGATATTTAGAATGTCATAATTATTTTAAAATTAAAGGGGTCATATGATGCGATTTCAAGTTTTCCTTTCTCTTTGGAGTGTTACAAGCTGATTGTGCATAGATAAGATCCCTGAAGTTGCAAAGACTCTGGGTGGATTCTTGGTTCCAGAGGTGGGTTACAAAAACAAAACTATATAGAGAATGTACCTTCTCGAACGATGATGAGAATCAATAATCCTGGACTTTTTCGGCTTGCCCACAAATCCAGATCCAACACATGGGTCCCACATTGAGATTCGACGTGATCGAAGCAAACTACTTTGGAGCCACTCTTGCCAATGAGTACGGCTTTGATGTACTAGACTTTCACTTCCAGTTCCGGTTCAGCCTGCAACATCGTATGCAGGATGGTGTACACTGGAATGCTGTGGCCCACCGGCAGATTACATGCTTGTTACTGGAGCATGTAGCACAGGCGTGGGGAGTGGAACTGCCAGATCATGGTGAGAAATGCAGGTTGAGTTTGTTGTCATTGGTTAGCTGTAGCATAAAGGTGCAAAATACTGTAAGATTCTATCATTTTGAAAGAGTGGTGGATTTTGGTTGGGTTCTAGAATAAAAAAAATTGTGTTTTTTGTTTTTCTGGCATCACTCTCTGTACCAACAAAACTGTTCAGATAATCACATTTTTGTTTAATGACTTACCTAAGAGTACATAGAACATTTAGTAACCCATTTATATTTCTTTCTTATTTTTGCAGACCAGGTTAAGGCGGATGGTCACCCACCATTACATGACAGCCATAACTGGAAGACTGCTACCTCAAGTGCTCTCGTACGCCATCAAGGTACACTACTCTACAAAAGTTTGGCCTCCGTATGTTTTTTGTTTTGGACAATGAGTAGATTTAATAAGGATGCATTAAATTATTTGTCAAAGAATCATGATAAATCATAGTTTTCACCAAATTAAGCAACACAACTGTTCTCAACATTGATGATAATACACTAAAAAAATTTAGATTTGCCATCACAGGAATAAATTACATTTTAAAATATATTTAAAACCACTATTTGAAATTATAATATTTCACACCGTTTCTGTTTTTGATCAAATGAAGTCTTTGAGCATAAGAAAATTATACCAACCCCAAACTTTCTGTAGTATATACTGTATATAACTTGCAACATTTTTTTTCTGTGTAACACTTAATTGAAAACATGCCTTTTTAACAGGTCCTCTATATAGCAATAAGAGAGGCTTCAATCCACCTGTGACGCCTGCTATCCATTATAACAATGGTAACAATCAAGCCACTCCTGAGAAAATTTACTTAACCAGCACAGTTATTCTCATGATGATTCATTTAGGAACAACTAATTGTACAATTCAGTTAGCGCTGGGGGATGTTGTAGTCCTAGATATGCATAGATACCATATTCGACCACTTGAGATACGTTGAAGCGTCCGTTGGGACGGTCAACTTGTCATCCACCATAATAATCAATGGATATTCAAAGATATACATGCGTGTAACTTGCTGTTGTAGATGCACACAGTCAACTTGCGCTCGAGTTCGCAGGCCGTTCCAAAAATGGCAGATGGGTTATGCATCTCGGATGCTAATGACGCATCTACATACATGTATCTATAGTTATTAGTCATGTTTGATTATTTTGTTAAAATGAAAGTGATCGTTCTCATTTTCCAGCTCCAGCCTGGACACAAGGCCAAATGATGAGGCAGTTCAGTGGCTTTGGTTCACAGTTCAGCGGCTATGGTGCACAGTTCTACAGCGACAGTGTACCTCCCCACTTAACAGCAGGGTACCAGAGCTTTGAAAGGGAACCCTTCTACAGAGGTACAAATAGATTTAACTATTTTTCTCAAACTATCTGTATCTTAATGTATTATATTAATGTAAAATTGTACTAAACGTCTATTTATTCATAAGGTGTTAATTCAGCTGCTGCCCCCTACTGGCCAGTGAACAACTTGGTCATGAAACACAAACAGAGAAGACCATATAATCCTTACACACGAGAGAGACCACGTACTTACAGATACTAAATCGACTCTGTTCTCATTGTGTATGGCCAGAATGAAGCTTTGTTGAATCTCTTCCTTTAAACCTTTCAAGTAAAAATACACATTCTGCATGGTAATTAAGCACCTTGTTGGAATTATAGGAATTGTTGTTTTGTAGGGTGCGTACATGTTTATTAAGTACTGAAATGTCGTTTATTCATACTTTCTTAAAAGTGATGCTTGTTTATAGAGCCTTTCTATGTTATATGATTCTCGTGTCACAAAAACATTTGCCACTGATGGAAAAATTAAGCACCACAGGACAAAACATTTCTTTTAATACTGAAATAAACATTTATTTTTTACAAAAGTCTGTAAAATTGTTAGTTAAGTCCTGGACTGAGTGAAATCCAAAGAACCACTCAATTTTTGAATTGGCCTTTGCTTCCATTATCTGTGTAGAATCTGTCCCCTTTTTTGTCCTTGTTTTCAGTCAACTCAGCTGTGAACACAAGTTTGTTAGATTTTAGAAAATGTGTGTGTGTGTGTGTATGTGTGTATGTATATATATATATATAAAAATCCCCCTTTATTTACAATAAGTTTCTTTAAAAAATGCTGTGACTTTAACCACTATCTCCCCTTTTACTCTTAATGGGAAGATAAAATGTATTGTGAATACGGGCCCTATTTGGAAATGGTAATTTTGCATTTTTGTTTGGCGCCGCATAAATCGAGTTTAATTCATGTAAAATACAAATATTTAACAGGTTAAGCTACAACAATTTTAAAATTGCTATTAGTTCCTATGAAAATGACACATCAGTTTTGCTCTTATGGAATAAAAATAATCTGCAAAATATTCCACGTTGTTATCTTGTACAGTCTATGGTTGTTATATGATAATCAAAATGAACGTCTTGACCAAAGTGAAACATTTGAAAAGATGTAGGGTGGGGAAAAAGGAAATACTTGTCAAACTAGTATGATGCCATCTGTGTGCCTTGGTCAGCTTTTGAAGGGTCCTCAGCGGAACTGCAAGCCTGTTAAATAACATTAAAAAAAACAGCTCAAGTAACGTTAAAGGTATTCCGTATTAAACAAAATACTAGCAGCATGTGTGATCCTGTGAATGACACGACCCGGAAGTGTACATGAGAGAGGGGGCGGTGGCAAAAGCGCTCCATCAAGATGGCGAATGAGCAGCAGGAATCATCACAGGGAGAGATGGAGGGTAAGTGCAAAAATAACATTCCGCCACGCAGTTTAAAAGATCAGCTGACATGCGTAAACATCTCGCAGGGTCCTGCATGAGGCCGCTTGCATTAGAGAAACAATCTGCTTTGACTGCTGTACGAGCAGGAGGAGAAAATGCAGCGCGTTAGATGTACAAAGAGAAGACTCTTCGCTCATTTAACCAAAATTAAAACCCAATCTTCCTAACGTTTTTCTAACATGTCATATTTCCATTACGACTCAAAGACTTTGATTTTACGCTCTTGATTTAAATAGAATAGTAGCATTGTTTGCAAATCAGCTGTAGACCGTAATATGATATTAAATCAGGGATTATGAATGTAACGTAAGTGGTAAATCTCTTGGTGTTTAGCTGTGTGGTAACAGTTATTGGGGTGCGAATTACGGGAGGTTTGACCCTTCTAAAGAAGGATCTCCCCCTGATGATGGACGTTAGAACTAGATGTAGGGGGGGTCTGATAGAAAGTAGGCTAGCCTACGCATAATATGGAGATTTACTTGTAAATATTAAGATGCATTTCTATAGCCCTGACTGATTTTAAAATGTAATTTTGGCAGCCCCTGAAGTGGGTCATATTGATATTAACTTACCTTAGCAGTTGAAGCTGCAGCGATCATTCAAAGACATGGACGGAGCAAGAACACCTAAAATGCATGTGTGTAGATTCAGAGTGGGGGTTCAATCTTCAACTGGCTGGCAGGAGCCGCCACTGACCGGTCATGTGACCTGCCAATGGCTGGTGGCAGCTGCCAGTCTGATTCTGGCAGGTCATGCGACCTGCCAGTGGCGTGCTGGTGGCTGGCAGTCTCAGCCACTGTAGATCTGCGAGTATAACGCTTTCCCTATCACTCTCGCTGCGAGGAAATACACTATTTTATTGTTATGAATATATTCTTATGACTCTGTTCTTTTGTATGATTGACGTTTTAGTTTTTTCCCCCCCATTTAAAGCAGTCAAATACCGTAATCACGACTGGTTGCTTACTGACGCTTCTCTGGATTCTCAACCAGCCAGCCTCTGCTGAGTTGCAAGTATAACGTGTTCCCTATCACTGTCACTGCATGAAAATACATTATTTTAATATTATAAATATATTCTTATGACTCTATTCTTTTGTATGATTGACGTTTTAGGTGGGTTTATCCCAATTAAAGCAGTCAAATGAACGTGATCACGACTGGTTGCTTACTGACGCTCAACCAGCCAGCCACGGTTAAACTGCGAGTATATCGCGTTCCCTATCACTCTTGCTGCAAGGAAATACATTATTTTATTATTATGAATATATTCTTATGACTCTATTCTTTTGTATGATTGACGTTTTAGGTGGGTTTATCCCAATTAAAGCAGTCAAATGAACGTGATCACGACTGGTTGCTTACTGACACTTCGCTGGACGCTCAACCAGCCAGCCACGGTTAAACTGCGAGTATATCGCGTTCCCTATCACTCTTGCTGCAAGGAAATACATTATTTTATTATTATGAATATATTCTTATGACTCTATTCTTTTGTATGATTGACGTTTTAGTTTTTTTCCCAATAAAAGCAGTCAAATGAATGTGATCACGACTGGTTGCTTACTGACACTTCGCTGGACGCTCAACCAGCCAGCCGCTGCTGAGCTTCATTCCAAGGAAATCATTCTAATTTGTATGGATACTGCCACTAGTTGTAACGATTTTACGATTTATGTTATGTAATAACATTTGTTATGCAATAATGTACAGCATAAAAATGCCTATTAAAACGTGAATTATCCCAATAACAAGAATCTTTCTCATAAAGTAATTTCAGCGACAACAGGACAAACTGCAATGCTCTTTAATAATTCTATAAAAGAAAGCCAATTTAAACTCCATTAGGGGTTCAATCCCTAACTGATTGGCAGCACCAGTGACCATTGGCAGCTGGCAGTCTGATTCTGGCAGGTCACGTGACCTGCCAGTGGTTGGCTGCCTGGCGGCTGGAAGTCCACTGTCAGGAACCATTGATTTATGGCAGATTTATGTTGCTCTCCTTCCACTCTACACGGGACTAATAATATAATTTTTTATTGTACATCTGTTCATATGACTTTACTCTTTTACATGTTCGATGTTTTATGGAGTGATATGGAACCCGTTCAATTCGGAGCTGAAAGTGACTGGCTGCACTGAAGCGGCAGTAACCCACCAGTCCGGATCACGGTCATTTGAACACTTTATTTGTGATAAACCTCCCTAAAATGTCCACAGTTTAAAAGACTAGACTTATAATAATATATTAATAATCATAAAATAATATATTTCCTTGTAGAGAGAATGGTAGAGAACGCGTTAAACTCGGTTTTATGGAGTGATATGGAACCCGTTCAATTCAGAGCTGAAAATGTCTGGCTGCACTGAAGCGGCAGTAACCCACCAGTCCGGATCACGGTCATTTGAACACTTTATTTGTGATAAACCTCCCTAAAATGTCGATCATGTAAAAGAACAGACCCATAAGAATGAATTCATATAAAATAATATATTTCCTTGCAGAGAGAGCGGTAGAGAACGTGTTATACTGGCAGCTTCATAGCGGCTGGCTGGACTAAAGTGTCAGTAACCCACCAGTCGGGATAACAGTTATTTGACCACTTTAATCGGGATAAACCTCCCTAAAACATATATCATATAAAATGATAGATTCATATGAATATAGCGTATACATAATAATAAAATAATTTATTTTCTTGCAACGGGAGTGGTAGAACGCGATAATCTTTAAGTTTAACAGTGACTGGCTGGATGAGCGGCCAGCGAAGCGTCAGTAACCCACCAGTCAGGATCACGGCAATTTGACGGCTTTAATCGGGATGAATCTTCCTTAAACGTCAATCATATAAAATAATAGATTCACACGAATGCATTAATAATAATAAAAAAATGAATTAAATTGTAGTGAGAGTCATATGGAACGCGTTAAACTCGCAGCTCAATAGCAGCTGGCTAGACTGAAGAGTAGGCAACAGTCGGGATCATGATCATTTGACCACTTAAATAAGGATAAAACCCCCTAAACCCTATATGATCTTAAAGAATAGATTCATGAGAATATATTAATAATAATATTAATGTATTTCCTTGCAGCTAGAGTGGTAGAGAACACGTCAAAATTAGAGCTCAATTGCCACTGGCTGAACTGAGCGGCCAGAGATGGCCATTTGTCTCCTTTATTCAGGATAAACCTCCCTTATATGCCTATGATATAAAAGAGTACATTCATAAGAATACATTAATAATAATAAAACAATTAATTTCATTGCAGTAAAAATCGTAGGGAATGCATTAAACTGGCAGCTGGCTGGACGGAAGCTGCAGTAACCCACCAATCGGGATCACGGCCATTAGACTACTTATTAAACCTCCTTAAACCTATATTATATTAAAAATACATTCAAAAGAACATATTCACAATAATAAAATTATGCATTTCCTTGCAGCAGGAGTGGGAACGCATAGGCATACTCATAGCTTAAAAAGGCTGACTGGAGGAAACGGTTATAGGAGGACTTGAACGCAAATAATTAATTGACTCAAAGTTGTTTACAAAAACAATGTAGAAATAACAAAAATAAAATCAGAATGATTTCCTTGGAATGAGAGGCAGTAGAGGCTGGCTGGTTGAGCGTCCAACGAAGCGTCAGTAAGCAACCAGCCGTGATCACATTCATTTGACTGCTTTAGTTGGGGGAAAAAACCTAAAAGGTCAATCATCCAAAAAAACAGTCATAAAAATATATTCATAATAAAATAGTGTATTTCCTTGCAGCGAGAGTGATAGGGTAGGCATTCTACTCGCAGATCTACAGCGGCTGCCTGAAGCTACCACCAGACCTGTCAGTGGCGGCTCCTGCCAGCCAGTTGAAGATTGAACCCCTACAGGAGATTCATTCAGTCAGTGATAAAGTTTACCCTCTTCGACTTAATGCTGTTGCACTGAATTTACGGAGCAAACTATTTGCTAAAATAGTAAAAAATAAGTAATAATACTTTTTTGTAATGTCTATTCAGTGTTTTTTTTTAATTAACACACTATTACTTTAATAATAACTTTATCTTTAATTAATCAGCACATTATGTCCGTCCCCTGAAATGGCTCCGGGTGTGTGTTCACGGTGTGTGTGTGTTCACTGCTGTGTGTGTGCACTTAGGATGGGATAAATGCAGAGCACTAATTCCTAGTATGGGTAACCATACTTGGCCACATGTCATGTCACTCACTTTTCACTTTAAAAATGCTTAGAAACATTCAGCGTTCCCTCTCATAGGTCACTTCAATGCTGCGATGACGTCATCGCTTTGGGAACACCCACGGTGTGACGAATGTCTGAAGCCCTTATACCATCACGCCAATTTATTGGCCAAATAGCGCCTAGCACCGGCCCTCACGCATACGTAACGTATGCTATGTCAGTGTGCCGCGCGCTATTCATCAGATTTCAATTCCTTCAGGAAGCAAATCATCTGTCGCCCGTTGGAAAGTGTTTTCGTCGTGTTCTCAGCTATTTCTTCAAAAGAAAAAGAGCAGTTTACTCCTCTCAGCGGACACGATGAGCCATAGGAAGTGCATCGAGCCGTGTGACAGGTTCATCACAGCAGGAGACACACATGACTGGTGCGAGCTATGCTTGGGCCGTAATCACACTCAAGCTGCGCTTAGCGGCCTATCCAATTGTCAACACTGTGATAGCCTGCGGCTAAAAGTTCTGTGCTCAAGGCTCGCAACCTTTTCGAAAGGCCTTGCGTCTAACTCCCGCCAATCCGTTTCTGCGGCAGTCGAGCCGCCGCATGAGACGATTGCTTGGGGTAATGCATGCGAGTCAGAGCACACGGAGAACGAGATGACGGAGTATTCTCCTTTCCTCTCGCTCTCGCCCGGCCATGTTCAAGAGCTCCAAAAGCATTATGTCGAGCCGGTTGTCTTCATCAATGACGATTTGCGGCCTACC